TTGCAAGGAGATGCTGTGAGAGGGGTGGTTGTCTTCTCTGCCTTGCAAAACCAAGGGGCAGAAATGTGTTCACCAACGCTCACGGCAGCACTCTTCCCAGTAGCCAAAAAGCGCAAACAACCAAAATGTCCCTCAACAGATGAACAGATAAACAAACTGTGGGACCCGCACACAATGGACTACTCCTCACCATAAAGAGAAATGGGATCCCGGTGCACGCTACAGCGTGGAGGAACCTTGAAAACCAAGCTGAGTGCAAGAAGTCTGTCGCGAAAGGACAAATACTACACAACGTCACTTATGTGAAATCAGTAAATACATAGAAAGCAAAGATTACCAACGGTTACCAGGGATGAGAGGGAGAGAGGAAGGGGGAGATTTTGTTTAGGGGGCAGTGGGTGTACGTTAATCGTGGTGGAATATTTTGGAAAAGGATAATTGAAATGGTGGCACAACAGAAAAAATGGACTCAACGTCATTGGGTTGTAAATGCAGAAATTGCTGTATCGGTGAATGTTTTGGTGTGTATATTTTCATCACAATAAAAAAAAAAAGTTATATCAGGCAAAAAACCACAGAGAACCGAAGGGCAGTCACATGCCCTTGGTACTTCTCTGAGGCCAACCTTTATTTAAGAACCACAGCAGAGCTGCCAGGAGTATTTTTTTCCCAGCATCATAGTCGTTGAGCTTTTTCCTGCCATTAAGCGTGACCTTCCTCCATCAGTCCGTGCGGGGTCTCCTGATGTCTCCTGGCTAACAGCACAGGAAGCCAGCTCTGGGTCCACTCCAACCTCGTGACCATGCCGGCCCCAGAGCTCAGCTTACCAGGGAACAAGTAATAAAACCCTTATGACGACAGAATGACTTTCATCATGAATAAATGAGTTCAGTTATGTCTACACTAAACAAGAGCTTCAAAGGGGAAAAAGGAAAAAGGACAGGAAGAGGGACCTAATCAGTCTTAATTAGTCTTATCTCTTAGGGAAGTACATATGATAATTTTAGTGCCCAAAAGAGATTCAAATGAACCTCATGCCAATCACTGCATCTTAGCGAGTCTTACTGGTGATGACAGGCTTGGCCATTCCACCACAATTATTTCTCAGAATATGACTCTAATCATGAAAACGAAATCTGAGAGTGTTAGAGGTCGTTTCTACCCCACTGGGTCAGTCCATCTGGAGACCGGATGTGCAGGTTCACAGATTCCTGGCGGCTTCGACTTACTTTGCCCCAAGGTGGTCCCAAGGGTCATGCATTGAACTGTGTTCCCCAAAAAGATATGCTGAAGTCCTAACCCCAGTACCTGTGAAGGTGACCCTGTTTGGAAATAGGGTCTTGGAAGATGTTATTAAAAAAAAAAAAAAAAGCTCGTTGCAGCTGGGACAATGCCGACTCGTAGCGGCCCTATAGGACAGAGCAGAACTACCATACAGGGTTTCCAAGGCTGCACAGTGGTTAAGAGCTCGGCTGCTAACGAAAAGATGGGCAGTTTGAATCCACCAGCCACTCCTTGGAAACCCTACAGGCAGTTCTAGTCTGTCCTATAGGGTCACTATGAGTTGGAATCGACTCGATGGCAATGGGAATCTTTATGGAAGATGTCACATCTTTCTCCCGCAGAGCGGCTGGTGGGTTCAAACCCCCAATCTTGTGGTTAGCAGCTGAGCGCTTAACCATGGCGCCACTAGGGCTCCAAAGAGGTTACAGGTTAACACGAGGTCATACTGGAAGAGGGTGGTCCTCATCCTATATGAATGGTGTCCTTATAAAAGAGGGAGCCTTAGTGGTGCGGTGGTTAAGATCCTGGCTGCTAACCAAAAGCTTGGCAGTTTGAATCCACCAGCCGCTCCTTGGAAACCATATGGGGCAGTCCCACTCTGTCCTATAGGGTCGCTATGAGTCGGAATCAACTTGACAGCAACGGGTTTGGTTTGGTTTTATAAAACAGAAGAGACACAGAGACAGGGGACAGAGGAAGGACGCCATGGGATGCTGTGGCTGCAGCCAAGGAACGCGTGGATCCACCGGAAGCTGGGAGGGAGGCAGGAACAGATTCTCCCTCAGAACCTCGGAAGGAACCGACATGGCTGACACCCTGATCTGGACTCCTTCCTCCAGACTGTCAGACAATAAACTTTGGTTCTTTAGAGCCACCCGGTTTGTGGTATGTTGTTACAGCAGCTCTCAGAAACCAAGACCCAAAAAAAAAGACAAAACCCCAAACCCATTGCTGGCGAGTCAATTCCGACTCACAGCCTATATTCTAGACTTCTCAAAGCTAAACCCACCACCAGCGGCCCAGGAGGCCAATGCTTGGTTCCTCGACCCCATGTTAGACCCTATGCCCTAGGGGTCCCGACCCTGGCACTGGAGCTTCCCGGCACCCCCAGACCAAGCCACTGGAAAGTGGGGGTGCTGGAGGGCCTCTCCCCGCCAGGTACCGGGCGATGCTCTGTCTCAACCAGTGGGCAGAGCAGGTCTGTGTCCAGCGCCTGGCATACAGCAGGTGCTCAATCAATGGTGTGCAATGAGTGAGTGATGGTGCCCTTGCTGAGTCCATGGAGTGCGCCAGACTCCCTGCAAGGGCTGGGGCCACTGCAGGCCCAAGAGCTGGAGCACCCACTCCCAACCAGGCCGCGCGGCAGGGGTTGGGGGCACCGGCTCCCACGGGGTGCTTCCCAGCCAGGAGAGGGGCGAATTCTGCCAGTGGACTGGCACATCCACAACTTGGGAAAAGTCTGAGAGGCCAGCTCGACGCAATCGCGTGGAAAGGAGAGGACCGGGGTCGTGAGAGGAACACAGGACTCGCTTCTACTCGGACGCAGAGTGGCGGGGGGCAGGGGCAGCAGGCTGGAGCTCGGGGTGGGCTGCCAGGGTCGGTGGCCCCTGCCGCCTTTGTGTCCCTTCCTCGATCACTGTCAAACCCGAGTCGCCAGGAACGGAGGAATAATTCTCACTGAGACAGTGGGAAGGAACGCTCAGACCCAGAGGGATGCGGCAGGTGAGGGGGGAGAACAGGGAAGAGGTGACTCCAGCCCCTCTCCCCACCTGCCCGCCAGCCGGCCGGCCCTGCAGTGAGGGCGTTGGAATGTGTCTCGCACAGAACGTGCCCGACCTGCCAGGCTGCCAGCCGCCTGCTCCCCGGGGTTTTCTCCCCTTCACCTGCGGAGAGCAGAGCCCCGGGCAGCCCGCCTTCCTCTTTCTTTGTGCTTCCCTTCCCGGCGTTACTCCCTCTTCCTGCTTGATAAAACCCGCTAAGACTTTAAACCCCTGTCGTAAGCCCGGTAAACTAGAGCTATGGGCTGGATAAAACCCCCATGCTAGCCAGTAACTATTTCCCAGGTGTTTATATTGGAAGAATCGCAAAGGTATCTCCGGTATGAATCGAGTCCCGGCTAATCTCCAGAGAGCTTCTTAAAAAACGCCGAGTGCTCACGACGAGAACCATCGGAAAGCGGGTTTTCACATGGGCCGTGATTCTACGTAACAGGCGCTCAAAGGTGGGATTTGTGGGGAAGGAACGTGTGTTTCCGTATCGTTCCTGGGCTGGTCTTTCCTTTTTTAAAAATAACTGCTGGCTGCATTTGGAGGAATTTATCTTTGTGATTTGTTGGGACGTCTCGATGGGAGTGTATCCTCAGAGGCAGAAAAGATGACAACTTTCTACAGTGACAATGAGGCATCGAGAAACAAGCCAAGCCCTTCAAGACCCAAATGATTAATGGCCCGTGATTTCTACCATGTTAGGCTGTCTCAGATCACCAATCAAACTTGAAATCTGGGATAAGGCACTTTCCATTTAAGACCCCTGAAAAGAGGCACGTGCAGCTTTGTGCATTTAGATTTTTTAAAAGTGGATTTCACCCTGTCATCATCCTTCTCAAAAAACCAAAAACCAAACCTATTGTTGTCAAGTTGATTCCAACTCATGGCGACCCCGTGTGTTACAAAGTAGAACTGCTCCATTGGGTTTTCTTAGCTGTAATCTATACAGAAGCAGATTGCCAGGTCTTTCTTCTGCAGTGCCGATGGGTGAGTTCAAACTACAAACCTTTAGGTTAGTAGTCGGGCACAAACTGCACCACCGAGGGACCAATCTTCCCCTACTGTTCTCATAAAGAGGTGACTTAAGTCATAGGGTTTTATGGGTTGAATTGTGTCCCGCCTAAAGTCCGTGTTGGAATCCTAACCCTATATCTGTGGCTGTGATCCGCTTGGAACTAGGGTTTTCTTTGTTATGTTAGGGTGGGTTCTAAATCTAATCACTTCTGAGTTCTGAAAAGAGCAGACGAGACACAGAAGCCAGTCCATACGGGGGGGAAGTCAGAAGCCATGTGAGGAACGCCCAGGGCTACTGATGAGGAAGGAATCCAGACGGCCAAGACCGCAATTTGGACTTTTAACCCCCAAACTGTGAGAAAATAAACGCCTGTTCTTTAAAGCCACCCCCTTGTGGTATTTCTGTTACGGCAGCACTAGGGAACTAGGACGCACCAGCCGCCATGACTCATGGCGACCCTGTGTGTGTCAGAGCAGAACTGTGCTCCCTAGAATTTTCAATGGCTGATTCTTCAGAAGCAGACTGCCAGGCCTTTCTTCCGAGGCACCTCCAGGTGTACTCAAACCTCTGACTTTATGGGTAGCCACTGAGTGTGTTCACTGTTTGCACCACCCGGGGCTTCGACTAAGATGCAGGGTGAAGATGAATGAGACCTCCGAGAGGCTGTCAGGAAGCAGCTCCTTCCTGCACATGTCGGGGAAGAAAGTGCCACTTCTGACGCCATTTCAAGTTCACGGAGCTGACCCTTTGGCCCCGCATCTGTCCTTTGACCCTTCCCCCAGGAGAAGACAAAGGAAACCGATGGAAACCCTCCAAGTGTGAACCGGGCGCCCCGGCGCAAAGCAAAGGTGAGTGCCAGGCCACTCTGCGTGGGGGGACCCCCCAGCCTGAGCCCGCCCCCCGGCCCGCAGGGGAGCACCCACCCCAGAATCTACCTGTGTAGTCCTCAAGACACTCGCAGGTATAACCGCCCTCGCGGCTGCGGCAGCGGCCGTGGGCGCCGCAGGGGCTGGAGTAGCAGAGGTCGATCTCGGTCTCGCAGTAGTCGCCGGTGAAGCCGGGCGGGCAGCGGCAGCGCAGGCCGGTGATGGGGTGGATGGGCCGGAAGAGCACGGTGGCCGAGCTGATGAAGGGGGCCGAGCTGTCGAAGCGCAGCACCGACACGCACTTCATGTAATTCTCGCAGGGCTCGCGCAGGCAGATGTTGTCGTCGAAGGGCAGCACGCGCTGCGCCGAGATGGTGGTCAGCAGCGTGCGGTTCAGGTAGATGTGCTCCTGCAGGGCCTCAGAAGGGAAGAAGCGGCCGCGCCCGCCGCCGGGGAGCAGGGCGGAGAAGGTCACGTTCAGGATGTTGGCGCGCACGTCCGTGTCGTTCTGGATGTTGAAGATGAAGACGTCGTCCTTGGCCGTGGACAGCACGGCCGCCACGCCCTCCATGAAGAGGCCGAGCAGCGGGGACAGGAACTGCTCCTGCGACATGTTCTCCAGGCGGACGGTGATGCTGTTGGTCAGCATGTCGTCCGTGATGATGGTGACGCGCAGAGTGCAGAGCGCGGTCACGCTGTGGATGCCGTCTGCGGGACAGAGGAGAGTCGGGGTCACTGGGACACCTGGGAGTCGCGGTCTCCACCCATCGCCCCCCAGGAAAGCCTCGGACATGCTCAGCACAGGACATGCACGCTGGGTGCCCCCACCCTGCCCTCCCACCCCCCATCACCCATCACCACCTGCTGCCCCCATCTTGACCTCCAACAGCTTTCCCAGCCGGGTCTCATTCCCTCTGACTGACCCAGTGACCCGCACTCACTTCCTAAAGGACAGCTTGACCACGTCACTCTACTGCAGGAAGCCCTCTGTGGCTCCCCAAAATGCTCAGTGGGGCACCCCAACCACTGCCATGACCCAGCCCCTCACCACCCAGGGACACCCTCTCACATGCTCCGCTCCAGACTCGTGGGGACACAGCCCGCGTTCCATGTCCTCTGCACCCGCTCCAGCCACCAGGAGACCCCCACCCCCACCGCCAACTCAAACCCCTGGGATCCGGGAAGCCCCGTTTGGTCCTGCCTGGGGAACAGCCTGGGGATGGTTTTACTTCTCTCGTGGTTGTTGGTAGCTGCCATCAAGCTGGCCCCAGACTCCTGGTGACCCCATGTGCGCCAGAGTAGAACTGTGCTCCACAGGGTTTTCAATAGCTGATTTTTTTGGAGATAGATTGCCAGGCCTTTCTTCCCAGGTGCCTCTGGGTGGACTCAAACAGCTGAGCACTAACTGAAAAATGGAGGTTTCAGTCCACCCAGAGGCACCTTGGAAATCCTGGTGGCGTAGTGGGTGAGAGCTACGGCTGCTAACCAAAAGGTCGGCAGTTCGAATCCACCAGGCGCTCCTTGGAAACTCTGTGGGGCAGTTCTCCTCTGTCCTGTAGGGTCGCTGTGAGTCAGAATCGACTCGACAGCAATGGGTAATGGTTAGAGGTACCTTGGAAGAAAGGCCTGGTGATCTACTTCTGAAAGATCAGCCACTGAAAACCCTATGGAGCACAGTTCTACCCTGGCACGCGTAGGGTCAGCAGATGTCAAAGTTGACTTGATGGTAACTGACTTTTTTTCTTGGTCAGGTGAGGAGACCTGGAGGCCCACCTTGCCACTCCAACACCAGCAAGGTACCACAGCCCCTGACGAGGGCACAGCACAGATAGAAAGTCCTGAAGATAACGGGGGGAAATACAACAGATGCCTCCTCACCCCAAGACTGTACTTTCTCAGGTACCTGGGAGCTACGCATCATGTTGGGAAGGGATCATGAGTCACTAACTTGTCTACACAACAGAGAAAGGTGAACCCTTCAGAGCCCACAACCACAGTCATGTACTGTTATCCCAGCAAACTTGGGATCCCAGGAGGACCGGCATTCGCCCTGTTTCCAGGCGAGGGAAACCGAGGCACAGAGAAGCTGTGTTTCATGCCCAAGAACACAGGCTTGGTTGCTGGTGAGCCTGGCTCCACCTTGATAATAACCCCGCCACCCAGCCAGCACCCACGTCAGACCTGCGCATGGCACCTATTATTCCACATGGTCCTCATGATAACCGCGGCAAGGTAAATTTAAAAATCAGAGATAATAATGTTTTAACCTTGGTGCGGGGAGGGCACATCCAAGCCTGGCATCCAACCCAGGAGCCTTAGGAAAAACACTCACCAATCTGTCTCCAGCTTCTACAGAGCACAGAGTAAACGCTCAACAGCCTCATCTTTCCCAAAAAGCAAGGGAAGTCTGAGAAACTGTCCCAGCCCAGAGGAGCCTAAGGAGACACGGCGACAGTGTCGTGTGGGATCCTGGGGCAGGACGTGGATATTAGGGAAAGACTAAGGGGAGCTGAACAAAGTACGGGCTTCAGCTGACAACATGCATTGATGCTGGTCCACCAATTGTGAAAATGCACCAGAGTGCTGTTACGATACACTCGTGTCCCCCTAAAACGTGTGTTGGGATCCTAACCCCTGAACCTGTGGATGCAATCCCGTTTGGTAATGAAGTTCTTTGTTATGTTAACTAGGTCATACCCGAGCAGGGTGGGGCTCCAAATCTAATCACCACACACACACACACACACACACACACACACACACACACTTTCAGCCTCCAGAGAAAATGAGAAAATAAAATTCTGTTCACGAAAGCCACCAGTGACCCCCTGGTTTTTCTGACACACTAAGCATGCAGGGTCTTAGGGGTAATGCCGCGATGGTACCCACAGGCCCCTGGAGACGCAGCTGGAGCCCAGGAGAGCGGGGAGCTGCATATAAATGTACCCACCATGGGTCTTTGCCACCCTGTCCCACGCACACCGTGATCTTGGCAGGAGGAAGGGGGAACCTCTCTTCTATCGCTGACAACCACGAGACCGTGTCCCACACAGCCCGAGGTCCCAGTGAGTCCCGGCCATTCTCCCACGGCCACTGTGTCCTCGCCTATGGGCTGTTATCTGCTCTTCCGCTGGCTGGAGACAAAGGAGCCTGCTCCTGTCCCTGCCCGTGGCCCCCACAGACCAGCCAGCTGGCCTCTCATCACCATGGGTGACGACCGTGCCCATGTGGCCTCCTGGCGCCTTGCACTCAAAGCTCGGAGCCTTTGAAGCAGCTTTCTGCGTCTCTGTGGGGCTTTCTTTGAGGCCAGACAACAGGTGCGATGTTCTCAGCCCACTACCTGGAGGCTCTGGTTTCTCTCCTCTCTGAGCAACAGCAGCCACCAGACTGAACCCACGCCTAGCTGGCCACCTTCATATGGCGACTCGAGCATTCACTGCAGTGAGGACAGGGCAGCGGGGGTGGACACACACACACACACACACACACACACACTCACTCAGACACGCTGGAATGTGCCATCAGCAAACTTCAAACAAGGAGCTCTGGTGGGGCAACTGTTGAGTGCTCTGCTAACTGAAAGGTTAGTGGTTCAAACCCACCCAGCAGCTCCCCAGGAGAAAGACCTGGTGATCTCCTCCAGTAAAGATTTCCAAAAAAAGCCAAACCCGTTGCCGCTGAGTCGATTCCGACTCTTAGTGACCCTATAGGACAGAGAAGAACTGTCCCATGGGGTGTCCAAGGCTGTCATCTTTACAGAGGCAGACTGCCACATCTTTGTCCCACGGACAGGCTGTGGGTTCAAACTATTGATCCTTCAGTTAACAGCCGAGTGCTTAACCACCGTGCCACCAGGGCTCCTCCCATGAAGTTCACAGCCTAGGAAAGCCTCTGGGGCAGTTCTGCTCCGTCTCTTGGGGCTGCTGGAGTCGGAATCGACTCGACAGCACCGAACAACAGCAGCAAACCACAAACACACCTTCAGCCAAAGTTCAAACAAACTGTGTGCAAAACGCCAGCTCTCTGGCAGCATCCGAGCCCTGGGAGAGCAATGCCAAACGGCTGGCAGTTCGAATCCACCAGCCCCTCCTTGGAAACCCCAAGGGGCAGTCCTACTCTGTCCTTTAGGGTCGCTATGAGTCAGAATCGACTCGACGGCAACGGGTTTGGTTTTTCGTTTCTTGGCGGCATCACAGAGATGCAACTGGATGCTCCACATCAGGCGATGTGAGTGCCCGAGACGCCTGTTTGACAAATTTTAAACAGCGTGCAGAGACACTTCGGCACTTGGGCCCAGTGTCGGGAGAGCTCAGGTCTCGGGCTGACAACCCAGCAGCCCGCCCCCCGCTCACACCCAGGCTAACCGGGCCTCAGTGGCCCCTCCGTGAAGGGTGAGTGGGAACAGTACCCCCCCACACCCAGGGGGCTGAGAATTAAATGAGACACTCTAGAACACCGGGAAACCCTGGTGGTGCAGTGGTTAAGACCCACGGGTGCTAACCAGCAGGCTGGCAGTTCGAATCCACCAGGCGCTCCTTGGAAACCCAGTGGGACAGTTCTACTCTGTCCTCAGGGTAGCTATGAGTTGGAATCAGCTCGACGGCAGCGGGTTTGGGTTTTTGATTTATAGAATACGAGGCAAGCATCTGACACTCAGAAAGTGCTACTGGTGTCATTAACAACCCCAACCAAACATGGTCACTTGTGGCAAGACATTTAAAATTACTGCCTATAATGGCAGGAGGCCTAAAGAGACAGGCAAGGAGCCCTGGTGGCGCAATAGTTAAGTACTCAGCTGTTAACCAAAAGGTCAGCGCTTCGAACCCACCAGCCGCTCCTCGGGAGAAAGATCCGGCAGTCTGCTTCTGTAAAGATTTACAGCCTTGGAAACTCCATGCGGCAGTTCTACTGTGTCCCATAGGCTCACTATGAGTTGGAATTGACTCCACCGCAATGGCTTTTTTTTTAAGGAGAGAGGTGGGAGAGCCCCAAACCAGCTCTGCACGGACAGCCCAGGCCCAGGTTCCAGGCCAGTCCTTTCTCCTGTCCTGTTCACATCTGGTCTGTGTGAAGGACAGCACACGCCTCCCTGCACGGCAGGACCGAGGAGCTGATGGAACGGAAGTGTGCGGGCGGGCACTTGGAAAAGGAACAGTCGGCCAACCACAAGCATTCTAACGCTCTTCTTAAACGTTCTTAGAGATTCAGATACACTATTATTCAATAAAATATTCCATGTCGTCTCAAACCACTATTCTGTTTTCAAAACACATTTACCTAGCATCCCTGCCTCCCCTCCAGCACGAAAATTCTAGAAATGACAAGACCGTTCTCTCAAAAGACATGGAAAGGGGATGAGGGAAGAAGAAATCATGTCTCCAGACCATGAGGCTCAAATGAGTCAAGATAAACATTACATTTTATAGAAAATACCCGACTCAGGTAGCACCAAAAATGAGGAGACATGAAGCAACAGAGACACCTAAAAGCCTCCTTTTCAAGGTCACTCCTGCATTTATTTTTTACAGTAAAATCACATGAGCTTCCATAGTATCAACTCAGCAGTGTTCTCTCTCCTGATTTCATGTATAAAATAAGCTCCTAAGCCAAGAGGAAAGTTAGTACCTACTTCAGAATTTCACACTACCAAGTTATTCCATGGCAGCACATTCCGCCATTTCTACTCTTGATAGAACCTTCCAGAAGGT